ACTTAAGGGGGACTATAGGATGTGAAGGGCTTTGGGGACTTTAATGCTGGACCTTCATGTCTCCTCGCTCTTCCTTGGGAATCCCTCCCCTGCCTCAGGGTTTAGGGTTCAGGGTTTGGGGTTTAGGGTTTAGGGTTTAGGATTTAGGGTTTAGGGTTTAGGGTACTTAGTATGAATATACACTCACAACCCTCATGTAGTGTAGCAAGATAAGCCCTCAAACCCCCTTCTAAACATCTAGAAGAAGAGTTTCGGGTTTGGGCTTCCTTGTCTTGGCCACATGTTGCAGCGAAGGCTTAGTCCTGGAACATTTAGCATTACTGCACGTTTATACAGCAGTGACTTGCTTCAATTGCAAGCCACGAAGGACCATCCAGACCAACCACCACGAACCTTCTACTGTAAAACCCTAAACCCTAAACCCTAAAACCCTGAACCCTAAACCCTAAATAGTAGTTTCTATTTTATTTTCCATCATCCCTATATAGCCCAGTTGAATTCCCGCGGAGGTCCTTCCAGCTCTCCCTAACCTGGACCCCAAACCATCTAGGGTTTTCCCAAAATTAGTGTTACCATTTTTGGGGTCCCCAGAATAAGGACTGTAGTATATTGGGGTCTATATTGGGTTCCCCCTATTTTGGGACCCCAAACCATCTTGCATGGCGCCTTCGGTAAAGGTCGCCACCGTGCAGCAGCTCATAGACCAAAGCACAGCGACGATGGCGAAAAACACTGCAAAGGCTCTCTTCAGCAAAGCCCAGCAGCATCACGACCTTTTATGAGGTGTAGGGCTCAGGGTACTGTAAAAGGGGCTCTACAGTGTCGATATTAGGGGATTCTATAAAGGAGTCTGCAAGCCCACGAGCATGACAGCCTCGTGTGGGGAATAAGGTTTGCCTGGAGCCTCATGGGAGGCTTATAGCAAGTATGCTTATCATGTAACCCGGTAACCCCTGACAGCAGCCACAAGACATTGGCAGCTATCCCCAAAGACCTGAACTACACCCTAAGTCCCCTGACCCTCAACGGAACTGAATAGCGCCGCTATCAGTAAGTGTATGATCTCGAATTTAGTGTAAGCACAATGGCATCCAACACAATGCTACAGCCTTGCCCCGGCCTGAAGCTGCCGAGACCCGCACGTTGGGATGCCTACATCTGGACAGGAGCCGAACTTCGTCTTCAAAGCCGCCATTCAACGGTGCGTCCAGCACCTCTGGTTCACTTAGGAGCTATGCATTCGACCCTCAACTTGAAACCCTATAGTCCCCCTTAAGTACATAGAGTATGGGGTATATGGGGATCTTATTATAATATATCCAAAGGCATTTTCTATCTACTTAAGGGGGACTATATACTCCGGAACCGGAACCCTAAACCCGAACCATCCCAACTCGCTCCAAAGAGCAGAAACTGTGCAGCTCGGGGCCTTGACAGCAGCTTCCGTGCCTTCACACAGAGTGGCGTGGTAAACCGTACCTGGCGCGCTTTGAAATTCATTTTTTGCCGAGGCAAGCCTGGAGTGAATGACAGGCTCTCTAACCCTAAACCCTAAACCCTAAATCATAAACCCTAAACCCCTAAACTCTAAACCCCTAAACCCTAAACCCTAAATCCCTAAACCCTAACCCTAAATCCCTAAAACCTAAGCTCTAAACCCTAAACCCCACTCTTCGCTCCAAAAACTCCATGCGGGGCACCACTCGCACCAGAGCCTAGCTGCCGAGCGGCTGAGAAGCCATCCGTAGCCTCTTGCCAGAGATCAAAGAGTGGGGATTAGGGTTCAGGGTTTAGGGTTCAGGGTTTAGGGTTCAGGGTTTAGGGCTTAGGGTTAGAGAGCCCAACCCCTAAAGGATCCGAAAAATGGAACCCCCCCAATATGAACCCATTACTACATTGGGGAAACTAGTGGATTATTAGGGGGTTCCATTTTTTGGATCCTTTAAGGGGGTCTGGGTTCTGAATAAAACAACATAGGCAGCTTCTAAAGTGCTGCGTTACAAGTGGTACCTACAGAAAAGGCTTTTCCGGAAACATGTACAGGCATGAACTCCAAAAAGCCCCCGTTCAGGCATTCTGCCGACTCGCAGAAAGCTACTAATGCTTAAGGGGGGCTTGGGGAGTCAATCTATGGACTATTGGAAATCTATAAGGATCATTATACCCTCTCCCTTTAAAAATCTCCTCCCTAACATTAAGCCCCCCCGCCCCCTAATATGAAATACTCCCACTATGTGGTATATTATAATATAATAATGAGAATATTTTATATGGGGGGGGGAATGTTTGGGGAGGGGAACCCCTAAACCCTAAACCACTAAACCCTAAACCTTACTAAGGGAAAGACTGGGCCTGGTGGAGCTCCTGCCAGGTGTACTCAAGGGCTAAGCCTTCGAGGCCCTCGATGGCAGACCTCGGCTCCTCATTGAGCTCGGACAAGCTCCTGCAAGCATTGGGTTTAGGGTTGAGGGTTTAGGGCTTAGGATTTAGGGTTGAGGGTTTAGGGCTAAGGGTTTAGGGATTAGGATTTTGGGGTTTAGGGTGAGGGTTTAGGGTTTAGGGTTAGGAGGACCCCCACCCTGTAATAGTGGTATAGTAGGAACATCAGAGGGCCTAATATGATCCTTATTATCCCTTATAGCCACTATTACTGGGTGCCCGGTCCACCTAAGGCAGTCTTCTAAAGAAAGGGGTGCCCTGGGAGATGATAGGGAAAATGGGGGGGAGTACGTACTTCAGGTTAAAGAGGGATGATTTTGAGAAACACGCACCTCAACTCCGCCCACTTTTCTTTGAACAAGGGGCAGAAAGGATGATGCCAATGTAGCTACACAATTTTGGGCTAGGTCTTGTTTTTGAAAGCCCTTCGCCATATGCCGGCAGGACTTGTCAGGCAGTAGGGGCTGGTACTACTCTTGATGGACACCTCAAAGATGAAGATGACGGCCACAGGCAACCACTGGGATACCATTGTTTTCATGGTAAAGGGTACACTAATC